ACACACAGTTTGCACAGCACTTGCCATCCCCAACTAGTTAAGCACATCACAAACATGCATATAATTATCATTAACATAAATTAAAATGTTTCACAATTTAGTGAATGTTGTCCCCTAATTTTCCAAATTACATATTTTGCTATCATACTTTCAAATTTTACACATTTTGCCACTACCACATAAATTAATTGTTTGATATTAGTTAAATGTAGATGTGAAATATAGTAGGTTAATTATTATTTTTTATTGCTAATATGACATATAAATGATGTGACATAATATGTCACGTGAGCAATTAGCATATCATGTTAATAAATAATTAATGACATTAAATGAATGATTATCTCAATAACAAAAATTTACAAAATTTTGATAATTAGATGGTAAATTCACAATTTTTGAAAATTTAATAACAATAATTATGAAATAATTAAAGATGACATAAAAAAAAATGTGCAATTAAGGAAGAAAAAGAACTATTCCAATAAAGTATGAACTGTAAAATGCCATCCTACATGCACTAATGTAGTAATGTCCACATTTCTCTCCCTTATTTATATAAGTTGTTGCATGAATATAATTTCTCAAAGACTAAAGTGTAACATATGAGAATAAAAAGTGGCATACCATGATCCCATAAGCAAGACCCTGAATACCAACACTGGCTACGGATGCCCCAGCAAGTTCTAGGGCCCCCAAATGGCCAGTGAACATTAAGGTGACAAAGCTTAGCATATAATTAAAAATGGACAAAATAATAGAAGAGCCAGATAGGAGCCATAGGAGCCTTGACTCCCACAGAACAAGCTTTGACCACCATCTCAACGCAATAGGCCTATGTTCCAAGAACTCTTCAATGGCATCTGATGACAAATTTTGAATCTGTGTGTCTGAGTCCAAAAATGGTTGATGCTCCACAGAACCCATGATTATTAACTTTTGGAATGAGGCATCGTAAGTAAGCAAATCAATAAATATAAATGAAATGCATGCATGTGGAATATTTGCTCCACCAAAAATTATGCAACTAACGTTCCCACGTGTTGGTTGCTACCATCCAGTGCTTCACGTGCTTCTTGATCTTGACCTTCCCAAGTTAGATAAAACTACCTTTAATTTATTATAGCTAGACATATAGTATCTATATATTTTGTACCCAAAAAAATAAATGGTATCTATATGTTTCGCATAATTGATACATATATAGATTTCGTGAGTATAGTAATAAAAATTCAATTATGTATACCTTTTAAAGATTAGTACACTGCTACTTGAAAATTATGCGTAGTGAAAAAAAAAATTGAAAAATAATAAAAATGAAACTTGTTCAAAATGGAAAGGACTTACCTTTCGTGAAGCAGCTGCAAGTCTTCAAACGACAGTTAAGAAATGAGAAATGTTAATATCTTTGATACGTTTTCTTGAAAAGAATATTTGTTTTTAAATAAATTTTTATATAAATCATAGTAAATAAAGTATGAACACAATTGTTTTTTGACAGCAGAACACAAATTATTTTATAAAAATTACATATGATCATAGATAATACATGAACTGATAGAATACAATACAGAACATTTGTTGACATTTAAAATATATAAAATAGTATATGCACCATGATTTATATATTACCTATCAATTAAAAATTGTTATGTGCAGTAAATTTGTTAATTTTTATAAAAAATAAATTATAAAATTATATCTAACATGATTTTTAAATTAATTTACATTGGACAAAAGTAGCTGAAAAGTTGGTTGGCAGCTGAAAGTTGATATTTCATAACTGAAAGATGTTAACTTAATGAATTATAAGTGTTTGAAAAATTATACGTTGAAGTAGATGATAAATGTAAAATGATAGAAATAATCATCTTTCTATGGTATTTTTTACATAAATTTTAATGTTATTTTATTGATAAAATATATTTGGCTATTTATAATTTTTATTTATGAATTAATGTTTTAATAATATTTTTTATTTTAATTATTTTTTTTAGTATTTTGTATTTTACTATTAATTTTTAAATATTTCTAGTCAACTTCTTGTTAAAAACAAATACACTAAAGTAAATGTCACATTTTAATATTGTTAACTGTATTCCTCTTTATACAAGCATATCATGATATCATCATATTGTTTTACTGAATTATTATAAATCAATAATCATCGTTTTGTCCATTTGCATGTGGATTGTTTTTTTCCCTTTTCGGAGGGAGCTTATTTTCTTGTATTTTCTCATTTAATGGGAAAATTTGGGTGCATTTCAGTAATGCTTGTGATGCCAACATAATACTCGTAACATGGTAGAATCTATGAATCTTACCTGAACCGAGCCATTGCTTGTGCATGTGTAGCCATTGTTATTACTAAAATTAAATAAATTGTGTTAAAAGAGGTATAACACGTGTTATAAATAAATAAATAAATATATATATATATATATATATATATATATATTACTGTATTAAAAGTCTGATAAGGGAAAGGGAATTTTAATCTCGGGTGACTATTTGTAAAGTTTGGGATAGGGTTCTTTTTCTATACTATTCATTATATTTTAGTTTTTTTATTACAAGTACTCTAACCTGTACCGATAGTATTATAAACTATTTTGATCACGTCTTGTGATTAAAAGAATCTTTATTTGCTGAATGAAATTTTGCCTTTACAAAAAAAATGACATACTAATCATTATAAGATGAAAATGTAGAAACATGTTAGGTTGTCTTTCACTAACTTTTGTAACAAAAGTCATTCATTTTAATAAAGATTAAAAGAGAGTTAAAATGTTCAAACACATTGAATATTCAATATCAATGTGCATAAGTGTTTGTAATATTAGTTTAGATTATCGTTATATTAATTTTACCTAATTTTAAAATAATGACCGATTTATACACATATATTTTAACTAACTAATAAAGATTATGGTGTACCACCTTCACATGTGATTTATAGTTCATCATTTTAGTAGACAATTAGATTCATCTAATCCTTATAGTAAAAAATAAAATAAAATCAAAGATATGAATCTTTGTAAAATTGAAAAGGCAAAAATAGTGTGTTACATGATCTTTTATCATAATTTTTGTAACAAAGGTCATTCAATTTAATTAAGATTATAAAGAGAATTTACATATCAAATTTAATATTATTTACATTCAAGATTAAGGCGCTAAATATTTATGTAACATCCCTTAGATTTGATATCTTAGTGATTTCACTCCATGACGCTTCATTCGGTAACACTTCACAACTCCTCGTTGGTTAAAATCCTTCACCAATCAAAACCCTTCGTAGTTAGTCATTCTTGAGATATTTGTTCGTCTTTATGATCAACAACTAACACAAGACTTTTTAGCATACTTTATTTTCACTCGCACATTTTCTAAGAAATTTTACAGAAGATCACTAATCTCTAAATCGCTCCAGATAAAACACACTAATTATAGAATTCTTAAGTTATGAGCTACCAAAAAGTAAATGTATTTTGTTGACATAGGTAATATTAATTAGTCTTTTAAGTCATTTTCAACTATACAATCTCATGCTTATACAAATCTTTGGATCTCTCTCATTCTGGTATGTTTGAGTCATTACAATTCCATTAGCTTTCATTTGATTCATAATACTCCTCAGATTTAATGTCTCGACAGCTTCACTCCACGACACTTTATATAATGATATTTCACACAACTCTCCGTTAATCAAAATCCTTCATTGGTTAGAACACTTTGTAGATAGTCCTTTCTAAGATGTTCATCTATATTTAAGATCAACAACTAATCTCACAAACCAACACAAGACTTTTCAACATGTTTTACTTTCATTCTCACACTTTTTGAAACTTTTCAAAAGGTCATTTATTCTTAAATCACTTAAAGTTAAGTATGCTTAACTGCAGAATTCTTAAGTAATGAGCTATCAAAAAATAAATGTATTTTATTGGTATAAGAAATACTAATTAGTTTTTTAACTCATTCTCAACTATATAGTTTCACAATAGTACAAATTTTTAGATCCCTCTTATTTTATTATGTCCGAGTTATTATGATTTGTAAACTTAGTTTACATTATCTTTATCTTAATTTTACCTAAATTTATTATATATGAAAAAAGGTAGTTAATTTATGTATATGGTACTTTAACTAAACACACATATGTAAAATAAAAAGTAATTTTTAACATTAAATTATAGATTCGATAATCAATTACAGATAAAGAAACTATCAGTATCAACACCCTATAAAGTTTGTTCAGAACAATTACTTCTGATTAATTTAGTAACAGCAAAACAGATAACTCGACCATTCAAAACTATGAACTATAACATAACAGAAAAAGACTTAAATTTAATTTGGCATCCTATATAACAGACAAAAATACTTCAATATAATTTGATATCCTAATTTGATGTTCACGTCCAACACTACGTGGGTTGTTATTTTTCTTTTTCTTTTGGCTCAACCTTACATTTTTTTTTCCTTTTAGTTGATTTTTTTACTCTTTCCTAAAATTCAAGATTGAAAATAATGCTATAGTGAATCTTATTGGCATATTTATTTCGGTATGATAAATAAGAAGATATATAATAATTTTATTCTATTGATAAATTTAGAAAATGATTGAAAAGTAATACTATGATAGAGATTGCAATTGTTTTTAATACATAAAGTATATAATATTGGAAATTACTAGTCGGTACCTTATAGCACTGCACTGCAGTAGAAAGTTTTTTTTATTGGAAAATTAATATAGTAATTTTCTTGATTTTCAATGTCATTTTCCTATAAAAAATTTCCGCTTTTAATTCCTGAAACAGTATTCTTAGAACACTGACTAGCAACTAGCAAGACCCTGTATTATAAAGTAATTGCATGTGTCATTATATAAAAGCTACAAGAGTACTTGTATATATCATAGTTTACGAGTAAGAGTTTGTATAAAAAAAGAGTTAATGGAAACAATTTTCAGATGTATACGTAGACCAGTCGTTTTGACTTTTCAAGCTATGGCCATCACGTTTAATTTCTCAAACAAGTTTGACTAAATATAATAACAAGAAATTTACAATTTATAGCCAAAAGAAGAAATTATGTACAAATTTCAGAAGCACAACCCATACAAGCCAAGTTGAGGGCATCCAAAAAGATTGAATCAACGCCATCTAATTTCCAAAAATCGATCAATCTACAAAACTTCTCTAAGAGCGTTGTCAATGAAATCATTGTATCTGGTACTCTATTTTAATTCCTGTTAAAGCACTGATACAATTTCTACTTGTTATGCACATCAGTGCGTTTTAAAATACCAGATAACAATTTCTGTTGATTTTTATCCAGTCCAGAGAACCACTTCCTCAAAGTTTCAGCAATGTCAGAAATAGATTTAGAGTATGCTGGAAGATTGATGTTAGTATGCAAAAGGGTATCAAAATCAAGAGGAAGAAGACCAAATAGAGCAGTGGCTGCGGCAATTTGAAGAGAAAGGCTTGCTTTCATGGAAGAGGTGCCACGTATATAAGCAGACAAATAACATCCCAAGTTCCCAACTCCTTGATCTTCATATCCACCAACATCAACTCCAATCCTGAAATTTATAACATTTATCACTTTGTAAGAACACAAACTAAAATATATGAAATCATCTTTCTTTGTTAAATCAAATAAGACCAAATAATATTTTAATAAGGACATGTGCCCATGGCAGTAGTTATGTGATCAAAGAAACAACTATAAAAGCTAACGAGAAAAACGAATTATCACCATACAAAGCTTCTAAGGATAGGTGCTACCAATCAAGCAAAACAAGTTAACATAAATCAGAAAGATATCCATTAGTGGCTAGGTGTCCCTTAGTGAGGGAATTAGGTTAGGTTAGTTGGGCAGGCTGAGATAGTATAAGAAATAATGCATATTGCCTATAAATAGAGGTTCAAAGATAAATGATTAAGACTCTCGGAGAGTGGAGAGTCCTGATCTCTCGTATCCAGAGAAATCATTCATTTTGTATCTTTTAACCCTAGCCTAAGGCTGAAACAACACTGGCACATTAATTGGGATTTAGGGTTATCAATAAAAATTCATTCTTTCCTTCCGATGACTCTAAATAGTCATCTTAGTTGAAAGTGATTTTTAATCTCGAGTTTGAGCAATGATTACGAATTGCTCTTCTCAATTTCTCACTCTCATGATAAGCATACATATATCTTCTATTCACACAAACAATTAGAAATGTTGTAAAGAGGGTATCATCATTGCAACACTTTTCTAAGTGTGAAATAATATCTTTTTTCACTTGCAACACAAACATATATGTATCACATTATGTAAATTGATGATTGGTCATGATACTAAAATATCAAAGCAGCAATGATCAATTTACCTCCCAAGTTGATGTAGAAGAACAATTATACTAATAGCAAAGTTCTCCTCTCGACATGAATCAAGAATATTCCGCAGCTGAGGAACAAGTTTCATATCAGCCCAGTGCCAGCCCTGTATTAGGAAAAGGAAACATGCAATCAGGTATGATTATGACGATGACATCAACTAAATAAAGTGACAAGTTATTCCAAGAGTACGAGAACAGTATAACTCAACCATACAAAAACTGAAGCCTTAGCAACAAGTCGCTTATTTAAGCAAATGATAGTTAATACCATGAGTGACCTCATTTCAAGAACTATAATCATGACTAATTTTATATTGCCGAATTCTATTAATTTCAATATGACATCAATTCTTAAAAAAGGAGATAATGTCACTTATCTAGTTATCTTGGGAGGGTGGATTACCCTTTAAATATAGAACTTAATGAAAATAATTTATAGAACAGGGTCAATAGAAGTTTCTAGAATAATACCATTTTGTTTGCAACTAGTTCCACCAATGACAAAACATCATTCAGGTGACAAAGGTTGTCATTCTTAAGGCTATCTGGTTGAGTAGCAGAAATCAAGCATTTTTTCGAACAGGGCACATCACAGCTCTTGTTTTGTCCAGCATTATAATTGTCTGACTCTGACATGAATCTAGAATCTGACAAATCTACTTGCTTCATCCCTTGAAGCCAAATGTTTCTAATCTCTTCCAAGAGCAAGCAAGCAACTACATCAATGGATTCAGCACCTTCAAAAAATGGGCATTTAATATTCATACACAACTCAGCATGCAACTCATTTATTGAAGGAAGACAAGCAGTAGCAACGGATAGGCTCCCATCCTCAAGAAACATAATTAGAGACTTCAAAACAGTCACCATTAAACCAAAATTATCCATGCTAAAACACTTCTCTCCACCCAGATAAGCAAAAATATGGAGAATAGTCAGCACCACTAAAGAATCCCACTTGCACAATTGAAGTATATGGTATGAAACCTCAGAAATAAATCCAACATAATCAGTTGCAGCACATACTGATGCTAATATAATACTAGCTGCTACCAATTGTTCGGTTGAAGCTACATCAGAAGATACTTCATTAACACATTCCAGATAATCATTGGCTCTCAAATCACAATACGATGTTTCAGCATCTACTCTACTGTTTACTATAATAATTTTTCCCTCTATAAGAAAATCTTCAATGAGGCCAAGCAGCTCATGCAAAGGATAATTCTCTTCAAACAGGAATTTTGTCTCTGCATCAGACATAACTGGGAAAAAGGATGTGAAAATTTGTCAACTTAAATTCAAGTTTCATAAAGTGAAAATAAAATGATATTAATATATAGTTAAAAACATTATTTATGTTCAAAAAATGGAAGTTGATTATGAAACAGATTAGCAAACCTGTGAAAATATGTTCAGAGTAAGACTGCAAGCAGTGGGATAATTTCCCATCCCAAAGTTTCCCAAATGTCTTTGTCACAGCCATGGCAAAGTTGAACATCAAAAGTGTTAACAGCACTGAAACCTTCTCCCTGGAAGAAATCAGAAGAAATAAAAATAAAGTTAATATCCACAACATCATTTATCTACAGTTAGGGTTATCATGAACTGATTTGTTCAATACAAAAAGAAAATACTGAAACAAAAACTATAATGGGTGTTCAACAGCATCAGCCCTATACTATAAAAAAAAAAAAAAAAAAAACATGAGAAACTTACTTAGGTGAGAGCTTTTCTTCCAATTTAAGTGCTGTTAGAATGTTATTGACGGCCCATCCTGGTTGAGTAGCCAAATTGCACCGTGCTATACAATTTTTTGTAGCAACAAGTATCCTAGATATGATACTATTGTTCTCAATATTTGAAAAGACAATACAAAATTTAGGAAGTTGATTGTGTGAAGATCCCATTCCATCCTCCACCAAAAAAGCAGTCCTTAAATTTTCTGTAGTGTGCATATGCGAATTATGAGAGACTCCAGAATCATCAAATTTTTGTTCATTAGAATTGATTTCAACATTCATTACATCAAAGTAAGGTGATGCAGACAGGCCAGTTCTTGAACTCAACATGCCCTCTTGGAGTGCTTGCTCTAGAAAGGGATTCATCAAATTGTCCGCTTCATATGTTTCACGAAATTCAATTTCAGGAAGCAATGGAGACAAGGGAAAATCCATTGCTTTTCTAAAGTATTCCTCACTGGTAGGATCTTCTAATTCTAATAATTTCATATAACTTCCATCAGCAACTGTATTAAAATTAATTATGGAATCAAAACTATTTGCAGCATCACATATCCTCTCCCCACATGCTTGAGTGGTTTCTAAAGTATGTGGGGCAGGGCAGGAAGTGCGTCTACCAACATTTACATCATCATAGACCTCAGTGTTAGCCTCTTCAATGCCCTTTTTCTCATCCCTGTTAATCCTAGGTATCATGTCCACTTTTTCCCCATGAGATTTTTTTCTCTTTTTGTGGGCACTTTTATTCTCTTCCTGTAAATTATTGAGATTATGAACCATCTCTTTTCCTCCTTCTAAGAATTTGCCAACTTCTTTATACAACAAACCATGCAAATCAGAGAGTTTCTCAGAAGACAAATTTGTAATGTATTCAACTGTATCGTGCATGTTTTTCCTCTTCCTGTGGTGCACATTAACAGATCTGTCAGATGGGTTGCAGATAGCATTAAAGATCTCCTGAGTCAATTTTGCTGATGCAGTAATTGGAAAAGTGGTTGCATCCTGTGAGCCCATCAACTGTCCATCAGAAAAAGATTGTGTACTGGAATTTACTGCAGAACTCTGTAAGTTTGTTCTGTTGGATCCTCCTCTAACAAGAGGCTCCAATTTAGAACCAATACCTGTGATAGATGCAGAGTAATTTCCACTAGGAGAAGCGAGTGGAGCGTGCTGCATGTTTTTCCTCAATGGATCACTTGCATCCATTGTTGTGCAGCAAGGTTGCAGAAGCTCATTTTCAAATTGGTTACGCATCTCAGACAAATTTAGATTGCAAATTTGTCTCATGACATTTGAATTCTGCATGCAGCAATCACCCAAGAAAGATGAAAATAGTTAAGTTGTGCATACACAAGAATAACATACAATAAAAAGAAAACTAATAAAAGAAATTTAAAAAAATCCATTAATTATATAAAATCTGACCTATAACAAAATCCTCTCGCAATCCAAAAAAAATCCAGATTCAGAAAATCAACAAAAGGATAATTTCTCCACACCCCCTAAAGAAAAAAAACTAAAACCATGTACCATCTATAACTCAAAAACAATTATTTAGTGCTGATATATAAACATCCACATAATTATGTATTGCTTTCAGAGGATAAGCTCCCATTTCCCAAGGTTAAATAAACTGTCAGTGCTACTGATAATATGATGATAAGTTCATAACCAATAATTTAGGGGACAACCAAAGATTCCAATAATTTGGGGGACAACCAACCAATAATTTATGGGACATCAAACCAATATGTTCATAACCACTTGTCCATAACATAAGTAGTCCCACACTTTAATCTGCATATGAGAGTAAGCTAGAATGAGATTGTTTGGCTTCAAAAGTGTGCATGATTTCAACAGGGAGAGGATATACAGAATGGCAAAAACACTCAGAACATTATATATATGCAAACAATTAGTCAATGAAGTACCTTTGTTTGATCATGCATACTTCCAGAAACAGGTGAAAAGGATGCATCCAGTACATCAAGCCGATGCAGAAATTGAACAAAATCAATCTTTATCCGACCTAATTCTTGCCGTAAAATGCTGTATCGACTTGCTTCTAACTTATATTTTTGCCTGGTATGCTTTGTTCGTAGCTTTTCAAGCTTAAGCTTGTTTTTCAAAAGCTTCACTTTCGCACTTTCAGCTTTGACATTGCTGTCAGCAGCCATTTCATCAGGTTTCCTCAAGGATGAGAGTTCATCAATCTTCCGTTTCAAATTGTCAATTGTCTGCTTATTCTCTTCTAACTGCTGAGACATCTGATCAACAAGGGATTTCTCTTTCATGAACCTGTTCCAGTTATCTTCAGCAAGTGCCTTCTGCTCCTCTAAATTAACCATCTCCACATCTGCACGCCTTTTTTCTTCATCAACCTTTTGTTTTTCAATCTCCAACATTTCATTCACTTTTTCCATCCCTGACTCGGCATTTCTTTTTTCTGCTAATATTTTGCGCTTTTCCGCTTCAAACTTTTTAGTTGCCTCATTAAAAACAGACATCTCAGACACCAACTTCATTTTTGCTTCATTAGCCTGTTTCTCCAATTGACCAACCCGAATTTTATACTTCTCAGCCTTCCCCACTTCAATTCTGGCAATCTCCCCCTTTTGAGCAGCCTTACTCTTCTCTTCTTCTAGTAACTTGCAAGCTTCGGCAGCTTTCTTGCTCTCAGAATCAGCCCTTCTCATCTCCACCTCTAGAAGCCCCTTCAATCTACTGAATTCCTTCTCCTTTTCAGCAGCATTCTCGGCAGCTTTCTTGCTCTCAGCATCTGCCCTTCTCTTCTCCGCTTCTAGAAGCCCCTTCAATCTACCGATTTCCTTTTCCTTTTCAGCATCCTTATTCTTGTCTTCTCCTTGTAACTTACAAGCTTTGGCAGCTCTCTTGCTCTCAGAATCAGCCCTTCTCTTCTCCGCCTCTAGAAGCCCCTTCAATCTATCGATTTCCTTTTTGTTTTCAGCATCCTTATTCTTGTCTTCTCCTAGTAACTTACAAGCTTCAGCAGCTTTCTTGCTCTCAGAATCAGCCCTTCTCATCTCCACCTCTAGAAGCCCCTTCAATCTACTGAATTCGTTCTCCTTTTCAGCAGCATTCTCGGCAGCTTTCTTGCTCTCAGAATCTGCCCTTCTCTTCTCCGCTTCTAGAAGCCCCTTCAATCTAATGATTTCCTTTTCCTTTTCAGCATCCTTATTCTTGTCTTCTTGTAACTTACAAGCTTCGGCAGCTCTCTTGCTCTCAGAATCAGCCCTTCTCTTCTCCGCCTCTAGAAGCCCCTTCAATCTACCAATTTCCTTTTTGTTTTCAGCATCCTTATTCTTGTCTTCTCCTAGTAACTTACAAGCTTCGGCAGCTTTCTTGCTCTCAGAATCAGCCCTTCTCTTCTCCACCTCTAGAAGCCCCTTCAATCTACCAATTTCCTTTTCCCTTTTAGTAGCCGTATCCTTCTCATCTTCTAGTAACTTAATAGCTTCAGCAGCTTTCTTACTCTCAGAATCGGCCCTTCTCTTGTCCTCCTCTAGAAGCTCCTTAAATCTAATAATCTCCTTTTCCCTTTCAGCAGTCTTATTCTTCTCATTTTCTAATAATTCGCAATCTTCAGCACCTTTCTTCCTCTCAGAATCGGCCGCTTCCTTCTCCACCCCTAAAAGCTCCTTCAATGTACCAATTTCCTTTTCCTTTTCTCCCAATTTCCGATCTATTTCCCTTTTGGCCTCACATGCTGCAGAGAATAACATCATATGATATTACATTACTAATATATTGACTCAGTTAAATCAGCTGCATATGCATAAAACCAAATATTCATGTTTAATACCCCCAAAGATTGACATAGATTAAATAAATAGAATTACCTTGGTTGTAGCTGCACTCGATTTCTTTAATTTTTTTGTTAAGAATATTGACGGCTTCACGTAGAGCATTCCGAGATTTTCGCACCTTCGAGTATTTCTCCTTCTGCATATTATAATGAGAGAAGAGAAATGGTTAAAATCAAAAGTGAGTTAAAAAATAAACGAAAGTGAGTGAAAGCGAATGGAAGAGGTAGTACGTGGTCACAGCAATGGTTTTCGGAGTCAGATTTGAGAGTGTGATTCGGATTCGACAACAATTCCATGGCCACAGTGAAATGCAATGCAATGCAATGTGGTGAATGAATAACAGATGGCTTAGCCTATAAGAAAGAGACGAATCGGTGATGGTGATGATGGCGGTGGAGAAAAACCCTAAACCCCATGGCACCAACCTTTCGATTTGAGTGTTGAGTTCACTGTTTTGGGGTTTCTGAGTAAAAGGGGAAAAATAAATGGAAAATGGATAAAATTAAATATATGAATTATATTTAAAAAAATTGAATTTCACCAAAATATATTTAAATTTTAATAAAAGTGAAAGGTTAATAATAAGAAGTAATTTGACAAAAGAAAATAATAATAAGAGGTAAAAAAAGTAAAAAGTTAAAATAAAATAAAAGTGAAGGTGTAATTTTAGAGACAAAATTGTCATAAAAAAATATCCACTGAAAAGAATAGTATTCATTATTATTAATAATATAGATTTACAAAAAATCATGATAAATATTTAAATATATTATGTTGATTTCAGGGAAACAGCAATTATAACATAAAATATAATATTCTTTTATCGAAGAATAATATGTTTAAAAGTATGCTGCGCGGTTAAACAAATGTTACAAATTTTATAAATTGTATAATGACTTAAAATATATTAAATCAAACAGTTTTATATATACTAATTAGAAAATAAATTAAATGAAAAATAAGTTTTTACTATATTATCTTCAATGTTAATAATAATTTTAAGAAATAACAAAAATCTTCCCCCACTTTTTTCCACGTGAATTTTTTTTTTTTTTTGAGTCCGTGGTGGATAAAAGTAAAACATAAAAATTATTTATCTTTTAATATATTATTTCAGACAAAGAGTTTATTTTTATCTTATTTCTTTTTAGAGTTTAAAATATTTTCTTTTCATTTATAATTTACTTTTATTAAACCAAATAAATGTTTTATTAATTAATAATTGAGATCAAATTCGATTTTTATTATGTTTTATATATTTTATGCAGATTTACATTAAAATTTTACATCTTTTCTCCATAATTATTTTGATATTACACCTTCAATTATTAAAGAAAATTAGAAAAATAATTATTTTTTGAGGGAAGAAAAATAATTATTTTAATAACTATTATTTTTGAATAACCGGTTCTCATTTCCTGGAAGTGTAATAAAGACAGATACTATGTAAGTCACGTGAATAGAAACTGTGAGAAGAAGGTATCGGGTGCTGCTGTTCATATACTTGCAGTGTGCATATTATTTGTGCCATGAGGTTAGCAAAAGTGGTGTGTTATTTGTGCTATACATTAATGTCTTCTATACATTTAAGATGCTAAAATATTTATTATTTACCAAAATAGGATCACTTTTATATTTACTTTTTTGCCTTATAACTTTATTCTTCTTTATGTTATACAGTTCAATTCTTTTAACAATAATATAGTTTTAAAGAAAATTGAGATTTTAGTTGCACATGAGCACATTTACCTTTGGATTGCAGGGCCTGTTTTCGTAGTATTTAATTTGCTGATCTTGAATTTTCTTTTTCAAGAACTGCTAACATACAAAAGCTAATGTCAACATTCTTCTTAAATTTCTTATATTTGAAATCAAATGCTATTTTACAAGCATAATGCCTAAAGAATGGCATAACTTCATTCCCAAAAACAAAATTTATTTCCTTCTTTAGATCACAAGTTTGGTCATCCTCAACTAACAAATCACCACTCAAGTCCTCAATGAGATGAACGAACGAGTAGTTGAATGACTGAATCTGCATTTTGGGTTTCTAAAATAAACTGACATGACATGTTATATAAAACCTATAAGAATTTCTTTTATGTTATAGCCATTGATTTTTAAAGGGCAGTTCTTTCAGCAACCTCCACAATGGTCGAGATAGAAACACAATTTGTAGCCATATTTTGCATGTAGAAATCAATGATGAAAAATCTACAACCGATTGATCTGGATCACTGCCTTGTTTTTAATCAACATTTGCAAATTGACTATAAACAGGGTTCCTGCAATTTTTGCTTAAAAAAGCATAAACAACACCATTGGAAAATTTATTTTTCATAAATATAAAACATAGCACAAGTGGGATCCACTTTGCAGATAGAAGCTAAGACTGGCCGTGGTACTAATCATGGTCAATTGTCGTGCTGATCTTGGTGCTAATTCTAGTGATGTAGAGCAGTTCAATAGATCCAAAGACACTGAGATGTAGCAACTATTATTTGGCATGGGCATTGAAGGCTCCTCATAGATTATAAAGCTAGACAAGTCCTATCCCATTTCCATCTCCTTTAATGAGGCCAGCATAGTCTGGATACTTTGCTAGGACACACTGTTCAACATATTCCATTTCTTTCTGTGTGATTGGACCTGACCAATTCAGACAATTTAGTTGATATGGCTTCAGCTATGATGTGGGCAGGAATCTACTTATGTTGCTTCTGTTTTGGTACCAATTCAGACAATTTGTTTAGTTACAATGGAACGCACATCTACAAAAAGTAAGTAAATGTGGGGATTTGATAATTACCTTTAGAATCATGCTGATAAATTTTCAGCTCTCAATTATTAATTTTTGTGTTGCAACTTTCTGAGAGTCCTTGACTTCTTTTTCTACCATCTCCTGATATGTCACATCACACAAGGCGTAGAATTCAGAATTGTTGAGGCTTTAGTGATTGAAATACAAGTCTCATTAGAAGACAAACTTGAGTTGAATTTAGCGTTGAGTTTGACCACTTCAACTCAGATCCACCATCTGAAATATCATGTTCACTGGTAATTTAGTTATATTAGCTTCTTGAAAAGGCTTTTTCAATAATTTTAACAGCTTCATTTAAAGATATTACTAGATGAAATTCCCTTCATACCTGACAGATAACATCCAGCTGACAGTTGAGAATCTGACATAGAAATCAGTGTGATTTGGTATCCAACTGGTAAAGCAACTAGTTAACATTCTAGCATGGACAGACAACTTACTGCACAAGTTTGAACCAAATGCCAACAATTAACTATTTTTTTCAAGTAGACATGAATCCACAACATTCATACTATTGCTATACAGAAAAAGCCAGTTCACACTGATGAACAATGCAACATACTTCATTATAAAAATCAGTCATGTGAAGATCAAAGAATCAGATGGAAATCTTGTTATGAACTATGGACAACGGGACAACATAAGTATGGTGTTTTAACAATTAGACAAGTAGGAACTCTAAATAGGCTGATTAACAAATGTGTAAGCTTAAGCAAGAGCCTGGCAAACATGTCTAGATCTAGATAAGCTTGTACTAGGTTCTGGGTGTGGTAGAATCAGCATATACTACTTAATAGCTAATTGGCTATAGTTTATTGTATTTAGTTTAATAGCCAGTGTGGACATGATAGGTAAAGAGATCCCTTGTGGACTGGAAGGAACCAACCAATTAGTTCCTGTACTCAAGTTTGTTTTTGTTTATATAATAGAAAAAACCTGAAATTACAAGACTTTGCCACAAAAAAATTAATTTGATTCACATGACCTTATATCTTACTATTTTCATTATATTTTGAACTGTTATAGAAATTCAGAAAGGAAGACTTGCAACTCTCAGGATTAGAGGCGTATATGCCTTGCAGAGAGTCAGTTCATGTCCATTACTATATGAAGACGCGGGTTCTGAGGATGCAGTACCTATAGCCACCTGTGTCTTTATATTCGGGATGAAAGACCACTTTTACCAACTGATTGGTGGTACAAGTGGAACAGGAAAGGAATTACTCCTACCATCATATTCTTGTCAAGCCTAAACAAAAAAATCTTTGGCTTCCTAACAAGCTAGAACATGGACATCTAACAGTAAATTTAAGAAAGAAAACACACAATAATAAATTTATAAAAAAAAAAAAAAAAGGCATTGAGCTATAACATATACCTTTTATACGTATAAAGGGCATGGGAAAAAATGTAAACAGAATCAGTTCACCCTAGTAATGCTACAAATACAATTTTATACAGATCCTTAATACACTTACCTCTCAACCAGCAGTAGTAGTGGAACCAGTCAGCTATCTTTCTCTCAACTAATACATACATAAAAAGTGAATGTTTATGCTTCGGTTAGAGAACTTGATCAGTTTGATGAGATAACTCAAAATAGTCTTTTCTCCATTCTGCACTTGTGCAAACTCCAAAATCCAACCAGCAATCACAATTCACAAAACTTTAAAACAATTTACTGTAAAATGCTGGAATCCTAATTTCCCATGAGAATAGCAAATTTACCAAAATTGATTGCCAACATTAGTTCATAATCAGAATGGCAACAGACAAATCAAATGAGATCAAGACTGGATAGAGTACATTGGCTTCAAAGAGAAGACGCTCCACACTCCATCATATAACCCTTAGAAAGTCGTACTCCCAATGGTTTTTTTTTACAAGATAATTTATCAGTATTGACCAAGTAATTTCATTAGGAATGAACCCATTACGCACACCTTTATATAAAATCAGACACGCATCATTTAACATACCCTCATGACAGTGCCTACTGATCAGTGTGTTGTATGTAATAGCATCAGGACGAATTCCTTCACCTTGTAACTTGTTAAAAAGGTTCAATGCCTCTTGAACATGACCCATCTTGCAAAGACCATTGATCAGGCAGTTATAAGTGACTATATCCGGTGTCAGACCACGATGAATCATATCCCAAAGAAATTTTAGAGCATCATTTACTTTTCCAGTTCTACACAAGGCACTGATCAGAATATTGCAAGAGTTAACTGTAGGAAAAATCCCTTTCCCAAGCATTTCTTCTAACAATCCCAATCCTTTTTCAACTGCCCCAGTTTTACAGAGAGCTTTAATAAGGCCACTATATGTAATGTTGTCGAGAGGACACCCCCTAAATAGCATTTCATCAACAAGCTTAAACGCTTGTTGAACTGAATCTCTCCTAAGAAATGCATGAATCAATGTGTTGTATGTTACGGTGTTGGCAATAACACCCTCCAAGAACATGTCATGATATATACTCAAGGCATCTTCCATCTTATCATTTTTGCACAATCCATCAATTAAAGAATTAAATGTATAAATGTCAGGTTTACATCCTTTGCTTGGCATTTCACCAAACAGCTGTAAAGCTTCTTCAATCTTCTCATCCTTGCATAGTGCACAGATCAAGCAATTGTACCCCACTGTATTCAGACTGAGACCCTTGGCTGACATGCTATTCACAACTTCTGCAGCTTCCTCTAATCTACCTTGCTTGCAGAAACCATTTATCAATATGGTGTACGTGATCACATTGGGCTCAAAGCCTTTTGCTACCACCTCATGTAAGAATTCAAGAGCAGAGACCAAATACCCTTTCTTGCACAGTCCATCAATCATTATGTTAAACGTGTAGGCATCAGGCTCATAACCTGCAATTACCATGTTATTGTACAGAAGATCCTTGGCTTCTTCAAACCTTCCACTAGCAACATAGCCATTAATTAATGTATTATAGAGCACAGTATTGGGGTTGGGAATTTTGTTCAGCAAGGCCCTTGCTTCATCAACTTGCCCCATTTTGCACAATCCCTGCATTAAATACCCATAAGTTAGAGCATCAGTGCTGAAACCTCGAACTAGCATTCGATCAAGCAACTTTGCCGCCTCATGAATCCGACCAGCCCTGCAGAGGCCATGGATAACATCATTAAAGGTCTGAACATCAGGCTCACAGCACATCAGAAACATGTCCTCCAAAAGCCGCATCGCCTCATTCACTCTCTTGTTCTCACAAAGGGCATGAATCAAGGTCTGGTAAATGACCGAACTCGGAACACATCCATGCTTCGCCATGTCCCTCAGAAGCGAGCAAGCCGAATCAACCTCATTAACCATACACAAGGCCTTCATGACCAACCCAAAAGTAAGCACAGTGGGGGAAACACCTCTATTCAACATGTCATAGAAAACATTAGGTGCTACCTTGGGACAATTCCCGTCAACCAGAATTTCCAACACAACATTGTAGGACTTAAATGTGGGATCACAGGCATAAACACCCCACATGTCCAACAAAAGCCTAGTGGCTTGGCCAGGCAAACCAGCCTTCCCATAATACCTCATGATCAAAATAAAGAGTGACTCCTTAAACACAATCCCTTCCTCTTTCATTTGCTTCAACAACTTATCTATAAGTTTGAAGTCCCCAACAGCCCCAAGCTTATCAATTAAGAGATAGTAAGCATCAAAGGTGTGACAATAACCCTTTTGGGCACCAGCCCTTTGAAACAATTCCAGTGAAGTGGGAATGTCAAGAGGGAGCTCCAAGAGTTTACAAAGCTGAGAGGGGCTAATTGGGGTGAGAGACCTTCTGAGCTGTTTTAGGTCAAAGGGTTTGAGCAACCTCTCCCACTCTGTGTCTGTGTCACTCTCAGGGTCATTGTCATTGAAATTGTTTACATGGGCAATAGTGCAAAGTGAAAAAGATGGGATTTTGAAGCATAGTAGGATGGTTCTACTGACATGGGTGGAGGATTTCAATGTTTTCAACATCAAGGTGGGAGATTGAAGGCGATAAACTAACCTCAGTGGAGCCACCGCTATGTAAACGAAGAAGACACAGTATACAAATTTGATTGCAGGACTTGTATGTTAAGGACGTTCCCACTGAAACAACACACCGTTTGTTACTACGAGAGAGAGGGAGGCGATGTTTGTTTGGTTCCTTTGCTTCCACGTTTAAACTGAGAAAACGTAACTCCACTTACAGGATTCCAAACACACTATCGTTTGCACTCAATAATTGCTTCTCTCTTTTTTTTTTTCTTTAAAAGTTTTCTGTTTTTTATTTTTTCAAATGGTTATTATAAATAATTTTTAAAATATTACCTTTAATTCTAATTATAAGAAATAAATTAAATTTTTCATTAATTCTAATTATAAGTAATAGGTTCTGAATTTTAAAATTATTCAAGTGTATATTTCTTCTACATCCTTAATTAATTGTGAATTATATTTCTTAGGTTTGAATTTTATTACTGTTATTGAAATTTTGATAAATAAAAAATAATTAATATTAAATATAATAACTATTTCTTTACAAAATATATATATATATAAACTATTTAAAATAGAGAGTATTTTTTAAATAAAATTAAAATTTATGACAAAATTAATTAAAAATAATTAATTTCATTATTTTTCTTTATCTCGATAATTTCTTTTGTTTTGCTTATAATAGGATCCAGAAGTATTAGTTAACAAGTGAGAGAAGATTGAAAACCTTTTCAAGTATTATATTTTAATGTTTTACCATGAGATTGAAAGTAAATTTTCATATAAACATTTATATAAAAAAATGTAATACGTATTTTATAATTTAAAATTAATTTATTTATATGTTAATTTTTTATATAATAAAAAATATATTAATTTTCTCATATGGTTAACTTTTACTGAAAGCTAATTTTGATTTATAAGAAAATTATTTCATTTTTTATAAGTATTTATATATTCAAACAGATTTTCAATATTTTAATTTATAGGATGCATACACATTATAAATGATTATTTTTATATAATTAAAATTTATAATAAATAAATAATTTAAACATATACATAACATTTTGAATTTATGATAATAATTTATATATCGTAATATAATGTTATTTATAATTATTGGTTATTTCTTTAAAAAAAATCTATCTAAAAACAAAGTTGCAAAAGATAGATTAGAAGAAATCTATTGAGAAAATCAAGTAATGATAATAAAAGAAGAGTGATTTAAGTGGTTGACCAAAAAAAAAAAAAAAACTCGCTCACCTTTTTATCATTACTCCGTAATCAATTCAACACCATTGTTCTCATGTGCACAAAATTGAGCATTTTTAAAGAATGAAATGAGAGAACAAAACTTCAGAAAGTGTTTAAAAATACTAAAAACTTACTTAATTCGTGTAAAAATTAATGAGCCTTTTTCACTATTAGAGAGAGAGAGAGAGAGAAGTACATGTTATAGGACGTTTCGCGCCAACTGCATTCTCTCAAAGTGCGACAATTAGTTTAGGGTTGAAAATATTTTTTTAACATTTTTTTAAAAACAAGTTTTCTTTTCAAATACTAGTGGAAAAAAGCGTCCACAACATGATGAGAACAGGATTACATCTAAATAAAAACTTCTGAAAAACCAAAGAAAAAGTTGTTTCTAGACATGTAAACCTAGATTCAAATCCTCATTGAGAAAAGTACTCACATCTAATGCCTACAATACCTCAAACCAAATTATCTATAAAAACAGATAAAATGTTTCCAAACATGCATTCAAATGAAAAATGAACTAAGCTCCTTTATCACCTAAGCCACAGAAATAGTAAATTATTAAGTTCACCCATGCTCGAACTGCATATTCTAAGGCAAATTATATTTGAAAACTCCAAACAATAATCATTTGAAATGTTCTTTTATACAATATATTGCTTAAGTGAAATTATTTGTTCGTCAGAAATATTTTATTATATTTTTTTTAATAATTTTGAAGAGAAATGCTATGTGTCTCGAAACTCATCTTCCGAATCATCTTTTGAAGCATTCAACAATTCACACCTGTCAATAATTTAATTTAAAATACTTCTTTAATTTTAATATTTTAAAGTTTTAAAACTTCGGAGAATTTTTCAATCGGTAAATTTCAGGATGTATCATTTTTTCCGTTTTGAAACTCAACTTCAGAAAAGTTGTCAATAGCTCACTACCATCTGTCAAATATGATGGAAATGACGCGTATGTAAGAAAGTGGAGCAACATCGAAGTTCCCAAATTTCGATTGCAAGAACAAAATGAGATAATAATTAATAACTGCTATAAGCAACTAAACATTACCGAAACAAGGTCACCTATTATAATTTACAGTCCTTTGCTGTTGATCTATATAGAGCTTGAAAAATCACTACATCTCAACCATTAATGTGTATAAGAATGCTGGGCCAATCCATACATAAGAAACTTGTAACATAAAATTCTGCCACCATAATTTTCAACTAATATTCCTTACATGGAGAATGTCCTAGTAGTGAAAAGACCCCATTGATGCCATGCCATTTCTCGAACTTCTCAACTCTTGTTGACTCACATAATTATCACAAGAGTTGTCAGTAGTAGAAAGTTTGTGACCTGGGGCAGAAGTAGAAGGACTAAGAACTTTGCCCATTTGTTGCACTTCTAGTGGAGATAGTATCTTTATGTACCACACATTGTTCACAAACTCCCTGCAAAATTATCAAGGGTAAATGTCTCTGCAGAATCAGGAATCAGCTAAGTCTAAATAAATCGAAGCCTTTAGCACTTATTTATATGTTCATTTTTTAGTAAATCTTCCTCTATATCTACTACTTTGGATGACATGCAGGTAATTAAATACTTCTGCATTGACAACGATTTCAGTAGTCTCAAAGCAATAGTAGAAATAATCATTCAGATCCATAAAATAATAAAAATTGGTAAAGTGTCACCATATTGAAGTATAAAATATGCAAATAAACAAAAAAAAAAAAATCACTGACAATTCTTATAGCACCAATGACATTAGCATCAGCGAAGGATGTGTAGCAAATCATAAGATAACTTACTATAACTTGAACATAAATAACAACTGGCATATGACAACTTACTGCCAAGGATCATCACCAAGAAGAAGGACATCATTCTCCCGGTCAACAAATACAAGCTGCCAGCCTGATCTCTGAGTCTTAGGGTCCTCTAGTTGGCCTTCAAGGCCAAACATGCGAGCAAGCTCACTGCGCAGCTCATCATAGCTGCTGAACTTAGAAATGTCCAGTGACCTTCCAAAGGACCCTGACTTGTGAACCTGTTAAAATTACACCCCATACATCAACAAATAAAATTAGAGCAATAGCCCTAGACGGTAAACAACATCCAGTTACTAATTGGAGAAAATAGTAGTCCAACAAAAGAAGAGGAAACAAAAATAAAAAATAGTTGCAATATGAAAACCTTTCATCATAAACACCATTCACTGTTTATATAAGTAGGGTCCCCATATAACTGGTACAATAGAACCAATTCAATATTGAACATAAATATATTTAACTTTCACGTTGAACCCATTCTTTAATAAAAATATAAAATGCTGCCAAATTTTGGTAAATGATATTCAAAAGTGACTGCACATAAAATATACATATATATATATATACATATATATATATATATATATAAAGGCATACAACTAAATAAACAAAAAAGACATTAGCTATTACCTTAACAAAGGTTCCAGTTGGTGTATTTGCTTGGTCTACATTTTCAGAAGACTGCAAAAAGCCTGATTCATCCACACAACTCGAAGTTGTCATGTTTGAACTTAAGGGGAAATCAGTGCCCGTAGCACCACCACAATTTGAAGCAGAAAATGGCAATGATAAAGAATCATTCACATTGCCTATATTTCTGATGTTTGACATTCCATTTTGCAGCATAAGAGAAGAGGGATCAATGTTAATCCCAAATAAAAGATTGCTCTGAGGATCAGCAGCACCATGGTAAGCAGAATGTTCTCTTCCAGGAAATGGAGGCAAGGCAGCTAGTTCAGAAACATTTGATTGTGATGTTCCCAAGTTTTCTACCTGAGGCAATACACACTGAGAAGCAGCAGATGGAAGTTGAGGTTCAACAGTTATTTGCTTGGATATTATGGCTGCAGAAGATATAACAGAATTGGATCCATTTAAGTTAAGTAACTGGGATGTTCCATCCTGGGAGAATGAACCTAGTAGACTCTGGATCGGGGAAACATCAGAGCCGGAAATATGATTCCTGATAGGTTCAGGAAAGCTCTGCTGCTGGCAATGTGAAGCCAGGGCTTGCAAGGGAGGAGATTGAGACTGGGTACCTGATGCAAAATTAGATAAAGGAGAGATGACATTTGGTAACTGCTGCTGAACAGGCAAGCTTTTAAGTTGCTGCTGTTGTTGCCGTTGATCACTATATGGGTGGTATCGGTGCAATTGTTGCTGCAGAAGTTGTGACTGAGCAGGCACCTGGTTTTCTTGAAAATTGTGTAGAATGGTGTTTTGAGGCTGAGACTGTGGTAATAGTTGCCTCTGTACCTCAGAGGTATGAGCACTGGGAACATTTGAAGTCTGCTGGAACTGCAACAGAGATTGGGAAGATTTTGAAGGATCCATTGTCCTCATTTCCTGGAATGCAGAAGAAGCCATTGCTTGGTACAACTCTGGTTGGAGACCTGGTATAGAAGCATCAAGTCTAGGTTGCATCCATGGTGTAACACCAAGCCCCTGGAAGTTTAAAGATTGCATTCCTTGATCCCCAAGCCCACCTTGGAGCCACATGAATGGAGAACCAATGCCCATGTCTCCATCCTTGAGACCTGACTTACACAAATGAAAGGAAGAAATAAAATTAAGGGGAAGATGTCATGTATCTCACACAAAATAAAACAAAGCATATTGTCACAGATCCCAGCGAATGCCATAACACAATTTTATAACCAAAACCATCACATACCATATAAAGAAGGTAGGCCCGGTGGCCAAGGGCGCCTCAACCTTAAGGGGAATGGAGATGGATACATTGGGAATGTTGTCAAAGGTTCAATCTCCCACAACGAAACTCTTGGCTGCCTCTCCCCTGCAGTAGACTCATCCCATCCAACCTACACCAGTAGACAAAAGTTAAAAACAAATTATACATCATCTCATTCATTTGTAAACACAATCTCAGATATTTCTATAATAGTGCTAAATACTATCATGACAATGGCATATAGTTGCTAAACAATCATGACAAACCTTCACAGAGCGCCAGTGTGAATTTGGCCAGCGGACCGGATCTAAATCACTAATACCAGTTATGGTACCCATGTATCTGGACAAGAACATGTTACAGTAAGTATAAGTGCATCAATGTTTTACCAAAAAAAAAAAAAACCATCTTTCTGAAGGACAAGTAAATATTTTTGTGGCTACTCACAGATTTTGTCTTTAAGAAGGATACAAGCATATATTGTCATGACTAATCACTCACAAAAACTTTTGGTTCTTTTTTCTATTTTCAAAGCACATAAATAATGAATCAACAGTTGTGAACAGAAGTGCACAGCAGAGAATGGTATACAGAAAACAATTGATACAATAATAAAGTTTAGAAACCAACAAATCAGTACCATAAAATGGCAGGAATAAAAATCGAGTAATAGGATCAAAAGTCCACAGCACATTTCTACTGACATAACTGTTGAAGTCACTGTCACAGATCAAAATTTATAGGGGTCCTACTAATACTTTCACTGTTAAACTTGGGATGGAATCATGTGCAGTTACCCACAATGGTGAGTGGGAACTGCAGTGTTCTGTGAATAGCACTATATTCCTTTCTTCTTTATACAACACAGAACACTATCCAACACAAATTACTATGCGGTTATCACCACACATTCATTAATGAACCACATTAAATAAATAAATAAATAAAATTTGGTAAGTAAATTAAAGGTTAACATACTTAATAGGTCTCTTATATTTTGGAGAGAATTCAGACATCCCTCTAGTTTGAATTAGCAACTGGGTTGGGTCCCTATAGTTATTAAAAAAAAAAAAAAAAAAAA